TAGAAGAGATGCTCCAGTCCCCTCCTCATCCTCGTAGCCCTCCGCTGGACTCTCTCCAGTAGCTCTTCATCTTTCTTGAACTGAGGAGCCCAGAACTGGACAGAGTACTCTAGATGAGGCCTCACCAGGGCAGTGTAGAGGGGAAGGAGAACCTCCCTCAACCTGCTGTAACGTCATAAAATGGGGAGTTTCTCATTAACAAGCTAAAGCAAATGACTCCCGTTGTCCTGCATCAAGTCAATCTATCATGGCTTCAAAGGCGGCTGGGGGGGAGCGTGCCCCGGCGTCGGGGAGCGTCCAGGTGAGAGGCAGGACCTCGCTGCGGGCCGCGGAGCCGCTCGTCTCCCCTTCTCTCAAAGCAGATGTGGGTTTTTTCAGCATCTGGAATGCTGATCAGCGGGAGAGAGATGTGTTCACGTGCAGGAATCAGCATCCCTGGACTCAGATTTTTTTGGTGCAGCCCGTCTGGGCTAACATCTTTGGTTTAAAATCTTGTTCTCTGTTTAGCTTGATATCGCGAGAAATCCAGTTCTCAATTTGTAAGTGCTCCTAAACCAAATTTTTCCAAAGAAAAGGTTACTGATTAATTAAAATTATTATTGTTTCTATGTTCTTACAGCTTGAAAATGCACAAACTAATGTAAGTAGGGGCAAACCCAAAAACACTGGCAGGTATTACCTCTCGGTAGAGGGATTTTACCCTTCAGTAGAGGGTTTATCCCTCAGCAGAGGGATAAAATCCCTATTCCATTCAGCCCTGGAACTCAAAACTGGTAACACCACGTAACACTTCTCATTGCAGAGCACCTCATCGGTATTGCTTTGGTAAATATTTACAGAGGTCGGGTTGGGGCTGGGGCCGTACTGCCTGACGAGGTTTTCAGAAGATGCTTGGTGTCCCAGTGGAATTGAGAGGATCAGCCTTTCAAATGCAAAGGCTGACGTGTGGATCAGTCTTTGGACTCATTATTCTATTTAAATCAGTATTTTCTGAATCTTGGCTGAAGCGGTGTGATGCGTATTAGTGTATTTTACTTTTTTCCTCATTTTCTCTGCTATATGAAGAGTATTTACAGTACATGTTAATCATTCACCTGAAGACCGCTTGCACGGAGAAGTGGAAACTTCGCTTGGCTCAGTGGCTTTGGCCTTTCCCATGGGAAACACTTCTCAAACTTGTCCGATCCTTCAGTCTCCGGACCTAATGATGTGGGAGAGCGTGTGCGTGCAGCTGTACCCAGATGCAGATACATTTCACATCGTGAATTTTACTCTTAACATCTTACCTACTTCTTAAAAATCACGTTTCACCGAAATGGAATTAAAAAAAATATCTCTCAAAAGGTGTTTTTCGTTGTTTGAAGCGGGTTTAAAGTCACCTTCGCAAATAATTTTAAAATGAAAATGGATCTGTGTTTGGGGGTTCAGCTGAAGGAAAGTTATAGCCATTTATTTTCTGACGTATCTTCTTAATAGAAATACATTAATGAAGTGCAGCAGCATGTCAAAACCAAGAAAAATACCAGTATCATTTCGGGTCCACACAAAATTTTATGTACAGTAAGGATATTCATAAGAGAGATAAAAATCTAGGTAGCAGCAGTTGGCACTTGAATTCACTGTACGTATATTCTTACGTAGTCGACTCTGCTTCTGCCACTACAGAACAAGTAATTTCCCTTTATTTTTTGCGTAGACCCATCTATTTGGGTCTGTAGGGCTGGACTGGCCATAAATATCCTCGATTTTATTCCTGGGTTTGCCTCCTCACTTCTTGATGCAGTCTTGGAAATTCTGCTTTGCGTTTCTTGAGATTCTGCTTTTCTTGAAATTCTGCTTTTCTTGAAATTCTGCTTTTCTTGAATTTCTACATTTCTTCCCGCTGCTCTTTTTTCTTTCCCTTCCTTCTGTTTAGATTGTTAAATGATTTGGATCGGGGTGGTGGTTTGCCATGAATTTGTTAAAGCCTTGGCTCCGTTGGCCCGAAAGCGTGCCAGGATGCTGCAGGGAGCCCAGCTGTCAGAAAACCTAAATTTTCATTCTGTTCTGAAGACAAAAAATCATGAAACCGTTTGTTGAAGTGTGATATTTATTTCATTTTGGGATTATTAAGATATTCTGCTCCCATAACAAAGAAGCTTCCTGTGATCTCTGCCAAGCGCGGGTGGAAAATAGCCTCATCTCGGGGTTGGTGGGTCTGCGTGCGTGTATCGCGCCGGGTTGAGTTGTGCATCGTGTCCAGTTCAGTCACCAGCTGAAAGGGCATCCAGGGTCTGCAGCCTGGGAGTATCCCTCATTTTAAAAATACTGCAGAGCGCTGGGGTTTGTCTGGGTTTCTGCACTTTGGAAAGAATCTGAACGAACCGAGCACTGGGGTGTGTGAACAGAAGGTTCGCATAAACTAATGGATGTTATTTTTAAAACACCAGCTTGTGAAATTGGCTGTGTCTGTAGTTTTACATCTCTAGAAAACCGTTCCCTGTCCTTTGGCTCACACCGCGTTCCTGCAGGCGAGGAAATGAGGAACCGGACTCGTTTCCGCGCGGAGCAGCTTTCGGAGCCACCGGAGTCGTTTGCGGATCAGGAAATAAGGCGTTCGAATCGTGGCAAGGAGTGAAATGCAGTCTTGAAAGGATCTGACTCGTGCCTCTTTATTTCCTCAGATAATTAAGCTGAAAGCTGAAGCCCGTCTGGATCTGCTGAAGCAGATTGGTGTGTCGGTGGATACGTGGCTAAAAAGCGCGATGAACCAAGTGATGGAAGAACTGGAAAACGAACGCTGGGCCAGCCTGCCTTCGGTGACCAACAACGGCTCTTCACACCTGGTACGGCTTCCAGCGCGTAAACCTCACCCCGCCTCCCCATGCCTCTTTCCTAGTAGCAACTCCTAACTTAATACCGAACATAAAACCAACTTGATAACATCTGGTTGGTTGGTAGCTACCTGGAAAAATGTTGGAGCTTTATGTGGCTGAAGCATGTGTCTGACTTTCATAGAATCACAGAATCATTAAGGTTGGAAAAGACCTCTAAGATCATCAAGTCTAACCGCCAACCCAACCCCACCATGCCTGCTAAACCATGTCCCCGAGGGCCACATCCACATGGTTTTTGAACCCCTCCAGGGATGGGGACTCCCCCACTGCCCTGGGCAGCCTGGTCCAAGGCCTGACCGCTCTTTCAGGAAAGAAATTTTTCCTAATACCCAACCTAAACCTCCCATGACACAGCTTGAGGCCATTAACGCAAAAAAGGCCATTCATGCGAAAAAAACCCCAAACAACAGCAACAAAAAAGGATTTTTGGGGTCTGTTGCTGTGTTTACTTTAGACTGATTTTTCTGGCCTTGGAAAATTGCCACAACATTTATTTGCCACCTCCTGAAAAGAAAAATGTCTGCGTGTTCCTTTGAAGTTTCGTTAATAGTTTATGAAGTTTATCTGAGATACTTGGATGAAAGGCTTTGTGCTTCCCAATGTTTACAAAACGGTGGACTCAACATCATCGAAGAGTCATTTATGTGTGGATTGCAGTGAAAGTCATTGAGAAAGCAAAGCTTGTTTTCCAAATTGATTGGGATATTTGAGATGAAAATGTAATTCATTCAAAAAATCAATGTAAGTCTTTGGAAAAGACTTACCCCGTGAGCGGGGTCGGATGTTTCCGTCAAAGATTTGTCAGAGTTTAGATGTTGCCAGCATTCAGCTGCAAGGTACTGCCCTGTAATTTGAGATTCAGTAGATTATTTGAATAACTGTACTGTGTCCAGTGCTGGGCTCCCCAGTTCAAGAAAGATGAGGAGCTGCTGGAGAGAGTCCAGCGGAGGGCTATGAGGATGATGAGGGGACTGGAACATCTCTCCTATGAGGAGAGGCTGAGGGAGCTGGGCTTGTTCAGCCTGGAGAAGAGAAGGCTGCGAGGGGACCTT